CCCCCCCCCCCCTTAATACCGGTAGGACTGAGACTTGCCTCATTTCACGCCAAATAATTAGTGTGGTGGCATGATGATCGGACCTGACGACGCAGTGATTGAAGCACAAAAACTTCTTTACGATTATCCGATAATTTTCACTTTTATCTTAAAACTTGTGGACTTGTGGAGTTCGGGGATTAACCTCTCAATCTACTTGTAGTCGGAAGTGGCTGAACTAGAGAGCACCCTTAACGCAGCTCCTCATGATGGACCAGTTTATGTTGTTCCTGATGCTATGGCACTTTGTACTCAGTTACATCTGGTGCGAAGACTGATCGCCTCGGAAAAACTTGTGGTCATCATTCCTATCCAAGGTACAACCGCTTTTACTAGCTTGTAGGCATCTTTCTTAGCATTCTTTTATTCGGTATCATTCCACTGTAGAACTATTTACTTTGGATTTTTTAATTGCAGATGTAAATTGAAAGTCTTGAACGACCAAGAGTGTCGTTTTCGTGCTTTCCATTTGTTAGCCAATGATGCACATTTTCCCTTAAAAACTGGTTTCATGGCGCCAGTGGTCTCATTTTCCCGCACTTGACACTGGTTACACAATTTCCCGCGCTTAAAATCAGTTGGATGGCGCCAGGTTCCTTATTTTCCCGCACTCAATACTGGTTGCTTTCTTTTCCCTCGATTTTCAATGATAACAAGTCAACCCATTCTTGGCCTCGCTTATCGATTGGGGCACAGGAAGAATTTCTTCTAAATTTAGTGTAAATTCCGTTTTTAGAAAAGCTATTTTTTTCACTCTTGGTTCGGGTTCTACATTCTTTTGGTGTATGATTTTCTTGTAGTAATTTCTGCGCTTGACGATCTGAAAAAGTATGACAGTGGTGCGAGAGAGGCTACTAAGTTTTTAGAGCAGGAGTTTAAAAAAGGCAACAGGTACTGAAAACGACTGATTTCTTGTGTCACATCATTTTGTTTGAACTCTTCGTTTTCTATTTTGTGGTTGAACGCCTGCAATGCTCGTATCCTTTGCACTTGTTCCTTAGATGGATTAGAGCTCAAAAAGAGAATGAAACCTTAGACGGACAACGGAGGCGCGGACGTTATGAGGACGTGGCAGTGTGGTAAGAACATAATTTCCTGGCTGCAGGCTGTTTATTTCCTCGTTCGCTAAGTCTCATCGGTGTTTTTAAGGGACAGCCATCCCTTGCGAGAGAGAATCGAAAAAAAGTCTCACATTGGAAATTGCTCTTCCATTAGAGTGGCTTCATTGTCATATGACCGAGGGTTTTGAGAATATTTACAGTTCGCTTTGTGTCATTGCATAACTCCAATCTACGTCTCGGTTATTGGGTTGGTTTTTTGCTCCGTGCTTAATTACCGTTCACTTCAGGAAATTTTGGTGAGTATGGAAAGAATGAACACAATCGAAGAAAAATTGTAAGAATTTCAAGTAACAAACTTGAAGAGTTTCAGACGGGTCTCAGAAGATAGCAAGTTTCGAATGGAAAGTGAAGGTAGGAGAAAGGAACTTCTTATTCTATTATTAATCAATCACGCGATCTGTATGGAACAGTACCCACTCTTGGATCCCGAGACTGTCCGTGACTAAACAGCCGACTTAGTAAGACATTTTGTATTTTGCAGGCGTTTCAATCAAATCGTCAGCTGTTGTCGCTTCTTCCTGCGTCAAACTGGCAAGGGCCTCGTGACTTTACTAACCGGAAGTACCTCGTATGAGGCTCCAAAGCGAGGCCAAAGAAAGGGTGTGACCTCTAGTGGTACCCAGGCTACCCCAGAAGCAGTGGAATTTGCGCGAAGCTACGGAGTCAACGTGGAATCTCTTCGCGCGTTCTGTGCCCGGTTCTCCAAGCAGTATAAGGCAGTTACGTGACGTTTCGTGGAAATCCAGATGTTCTGGAAGAGATAAAGATATGATGGGTTGTGCACCTAACCCTACCAACCTAAAATGTAGGGCTGAAAAACAACATGACCCAGCAATACCAACCTAGCCGGGTGCAGTCTATAGATAAAGCAAACCACCACAGGGTAACAAGCTTGTTCCCTATTGCTTAAGGAGATGTTTAAGTGTAACCTTTCAAGTATGGCACCCCTTTCCAAGATAACGTTCTAAAAATTGTAGACGAATTTCATTTCAGCCTTTATAAAGGTGTGTGCGGCTTTCATTAGCCGTTACAGCTCGCAATTTCTGTGTTTGAAGCAAAACGTTCGGTTGTCATTCGGCCATCAATGGCCATACCCATCATGTAAGACAAATCCTATCTTCCTGCCTTCTCGACTTAAATTTGTATTTGAAGTAACAACTGTGGGAGGGTGGGGTCGTGAGTGATTGGTATTGAACACTAAGTTGTTGCATCTCGATAGTAGTCGGTTTGACCTCCGCCGATTATCTCGGATTTTGTCTGAAAATGTCAGTAATCAAGGTAAAAGTTAAAATAGGTAGACCATGATTTATTGTGTTGGCTCTCAGCAATCTTCATTATTAAGTGTTTTCCAAAATGTTTCACGTCATGACGGTAGATATGTTAAGCAAACACACTCGTTGCTGTCAAAATTACGCTTTGTTGCTAAATGTGCGTAGCTAAATGTGCGTAATAGTATGGTAGGCATGGGTAAAAGTACTTCCATTTATCTTCATGAATAACTTGGACCATTAGAGACGGTTTTTCCTTATATTTAAAGGTGATGGCATACTGATCCATGTGGACTGTAGATTGTTAGCGTAATGGAACCCAGCATGATTAGTTTGCTTAGAAAGACACGATTTGAAAACCTTCCTGTTTGAAAAGTTTTTCTTTTGCACACTATTTGATCATGGGGCATGATTCGACGTTGCTTGATTGATTCATTTCACGCGCTTTAAAAGTAAACATCGAGCAGATAAGTAGTAAGGTGGCCGAATAAGAAAATGTTAGATCTTGAAAGGTGTCAGAAATCGACGTTGCATTGATGCATTGTAGAGACAATTAGTGAATCAATAAATGTGTTTTCTTGGACAATCACTCTTTTATCTCATGATTAAAACTGAGAAACAACGCAACATAAATTTACTTTATTTGCACAGAATGAGAGTAGGATTTCGATTGAAACATGGTGGTGGTAACGAATGTGTCTGTGGTTCTGCAATGTTGGGAAAAAATAAAATGAAACAATGAACGCACCCTACCCCTCTTCTTCTTTCCGAAATGGACGATGATGGCGCCAAGACTAACACGTATGGGAAGAAAGGTTAGGCGCAATTTTCCTTTCATTTTGCCATTTATGACTACACATTGCCCGGCTCCCAGAAGTCCACCTCCCAAATAAAGGCGAAAGAGCCTGAAAAGCATAATTCATCATTCTAACTTCATCGAAGTTTCTTCGAAGCCTCTTTTCCACGATTAAGAAAATGTGTGTCCCATTACGGCGTTTATTTGAAGAAATCAAAATAAATTCAAGCTCACGCGAAACTGGAGCCAATTTTAGGTAAAAATCTGCGTGACACAGAAATCGGTTTAACGTTAAGAGTGGCGCGGCGTAATCGTTTTAAGCCAATACCGACACGCACGCGACCCAACCAATTTTCGTCACTTTCTAAATCGCTTTATTAAAGTTGTGATGGCGGATTTTTGCAAAGCAACTGAAGCCAATTCAGGAAGCCAATCAATACTAATCACGCACTGGATAAGAAGTGTCTCTGATGATTAAAAGAAATGTTAGAAAAATGATGTAATGAATAACTCGATCGTCATCGATGCAAATAGTCATTGCTATGTCCAGACCACGTGATATGAATCACACCATTTGTGCGCCACCCAAGGCTCAGAAATGCTTTGGACATGGATAAGCTGCTATATTTTGTTACATCATTTCAGTACTTAGTGGACATTTTGTTCCCTTCAGTTCTACTTTAAACCAAGATCAAATATTGGCCTTTGTGTATGCTCTTTTTACAGGAGAGCTCCCTAACTTCAAGGATGAACTTCACTCACCTGAATGCGCGCCGCCTTTCAGAAGACTCTTATTCCCTATTTCCCCGTCCCCCTCCCCCGAGGGGTGCGGAGGGGTTTGAGCACTCACTCGAGCCACACGCCTTGGCAAGAACGCGTCGGGGTTTACAAGCACGCACTCGAGCAACACGCCCACGCAAGAACGCATGATACTTACGTGCGGTTAATTGTCTTTCAATAGTGTAATTATTGTCCCTTTCTTTACCGACAATATTATATCATTAACGGCCTCGGAAACAAGGCTCTGTTTTGGAGTCTCGGGTCTTCCGAAAAAAAAATTGCCAGTCTATTTTTAAAATCGCGGCGAGGTGCCAGAGTACAATATTAGCTCTCCTTAATCCTATTAACAACCACAATAAAGCACATAGCACCGTAAAGCCATGAACTGTTTACTTAAGAATTCTTTTCGTGCCCAGTCAGTTTAGTCTAAGCAGCTTTGTTGTATAAATCTAAGGTAGAGCGATCATTATCAATAGATTTTAACTGGTTGAGGTGGCATTTAAGTGATTTAGACGCTATCTTATGGTTAGGTCGCGTTTCAGACAGAAGAAAAATAGTTTTCTAAAACATACCACTTGCTAAATTCAAGTTCTGTCAACGTATTTGGTACCGGATGAAAAAGTAGTAAAAAAAAAACGTTTTTGTTTGTATTTCACGAGTGCACCACGCTTTTGCTCTAAGACCACTTGCCACCCGTCAAACTTTTCTCTTTCAAAAACAAAAGCAGCTGATAGCCGTGCAAGTGACTGGTAAGACCCTACTGCTTAAGTAGGTTACCATGAATTATCGTCGAGGCGTTTTGGAATTTTCCGTTACCTGACAGTTTAAAGAGTTTAAAAGGCGTCTTTGTTTAAACGATTGACCAAGGATATTCACTGGGACTAATTAAAATCTTCAGCGATACAAAGGCCAATAAAGTGAGTTGTAAATCCCCAGATTTCGAATTCCTTGAAAAAGCTGATGAACTTTTTTTTGCAACGATATGTTTCACCAAGTTGACTACAAAGTCCAGGCTACCCGTCTTGCGGAAAAATCTCATAGGGTAGGTTGGGATCATATTTCAAGAAAAATAGCCACTTTACGCCTAAGAAATGTTTCATTCCGTTAACGGAAGACTCAGGAAAGAGTGTTATGAAGCCGGTAATAGGAATCTCTCAATTCACGAAAGGGCAAATACTCTCACGAAGCAACGTTTATTGGATGTAAACCCACTGTCTTGTAATCATATTTCAATTATACTAGCTTATACTTCCGTTTCAATATCGATTCACGCAGGAAAAATTGCCAGAAAATTATCATGGAAATTCCAACGAACCATTTAATGCACGTTTATAAAGTATCTAAGTCAACACCCATCCTGTGGCTAAAATGGTACGCGTTTCTTTTCAAGAACTCCTGATAACAGAAGATCTTACATATCAACAGATGTTCAAATTTACTTACCGTCGTTTTCAAGACATTAGCCAAGCACTTAATTTTTTAACATCCACTTATGTCACTCTAACTCTATTAACACGCAGATAGCGGAAAAGGCTCTCTATTTCCTAATTAAATAATTAACGACAAAAAGCACGCAAAGGAATTTACAAACCACGTGGGAAGAAGTGGCTTTCACCCGAGTGCTAAAATCAATGGACATGGGTGTAACTGCGGTATTTTAATCCCTATTTCAAACAGGATGCGGTCACACAGTTCCGCACCGAAAAATCCATATATCTCTCATAAGGAGCTGTGTCTTGTTTTCCATCTGGCTGTAAAACAAATAGGGCTCGTCCGTTTGTGTAGTTATTTAAGACCTTAAATATAGCCATCTCATGATGAAACAAAACCATTGTGTGCTTCCTGTGAGGGCGTTAGAGCAATGTACATCATCTGATGACGCAAGTAAATACGAGCCTTATTCCAGCCTAGTTTGTCATCATCATCTAATCACAATGTTGTAAGTTGCTTGCTTTTCTTACACATTGAGATTTTATCTACCTGCGCCCATTGTTTACAGCATTTCTTTTGGAGATTGCGATTCTTTGCATTCATAACCGAATTTTTATCGTTCTCTACCCACTCGCAATAAGTATTTCCTTTTTAAAAAACCATCACGATTCTGTCAAGATTTTGTGGTAAATGCAATATAAAAACATCATAAAACTGTAAACAAATATGGAAATGACTCAACAAGGCTGCAGATCTTTAATTAACCCTCGCTGATAAAATATGGCCTCAAAATAAGTTTAACCTTTTGAAAATATCCTTGCACGCAATGTGCCGGATATCTCAAAAGCCTTCACATTCCGATTTCCTTTCCGCCAGTTAATGTCTTTCGATACCTGTAGATGTCTCAGTATTTTCCTCCTTTGCCCCTGGAGAAACTCAGTGTGGTACATTCATTAGAGGGGAATTTTAAGTGAAAATAATTTGTGGAGGGCCAGAGATACGGCATTGACAATTCAGGAATGTTTTTCGGTTATAGTTAACTGACTCTTCTAAGCTTTCATATGCTTGCCTAATCGCGATGTTTTCAAACGCGTAATATTTATTTTTGGCTGTTTTCCTTTATTCCAGTCTAGCTTCCAATCAACGGGGTGCGGTCTGAAGCAGCCGCATACGCTGAGGCTGGCATGTTTACCAAAATGACTGAGTCTGTTTTCTTTTAGAAAAACTGCACGTTAACTCCATGTTTTTTTTTCCGTCTCCTGGTTGCCGCTCGAGAACAAGATTTGGCTCATATTTTGAAGAGCACTTTCTGATTACGTACTTAATCACTCTGCTAACTTACCAACTGGCATGAAATCAATTTGTAAAAATAACTCACGCAATGTGCTAGAGACACTGTAGGCACTCAAATTTTAACACCTTTACCGCCAATTAGAAATGGCAACCCCGTCAGTAAGGCAGGTCATTCTGCAACCACCCGCCTTCCGCTTAAAAAAAAAAGCCGACTCCGCTGCCCTGTGGCTTGTTGGAAGGTCAAGTATTTCCTACCGTGAATGTGGCGAGACATTTATCTAGCGCACACAATTTAAGATGGCTCGCTGATATCCGTGCGGTTGCATGATAATGATGTCAAGCCGCTTGCTTCTTACAGCTAGTTCCCTGTACGATCACGCACGACCAGTTGCGGTGTTTCCATTTCCTCTAGCTGAATCATCTGTTCTATTTCGTTTTAAAATTCATTCCTGGGTTGCACAAGTTGTGTTTAACAAAGCATCTGAATCGAAGAGTTAAATCGTTCACCTTAAGCTGCCGTCCGTATGGTGGGAATTCCTTAGTTATGCATACCTGTTAACTCAACCAAAATCACATTCATTTGCCACTTTTCACAGAGATAATACGAGTCAAGAGGTTGCTTCTAATGTCATTTATAAGCAGCTGAATGCTTCATCATCTTGTAATTGATAAAGTGCATGAGTGGATTAACCAGGCTCCCCTCCCAAGAGCTTTCTCACTCGCTCTTGGAATTCAGACTTAAGTAATTATCAGTATGGTTCTTGGGCTTGCAAATTGACCTCTAGGCGCAGAGTGTTCAGAGGGGCTCATAATGGCATATCGCAGACGTAGACTCCGGCCACCAACAACGAATTCCGTACGAGATGGGCTGAGCCCTTCAGCATCGTGATTCAGTTCTAGTGTCGTGTATAGTCCGTATAATCTGCTTTCTGGTGGAAATAACCAACTGACAAACCGGCAAGAAATTGCGCTTCATAAAACCTGATTAATTTTCTTTGATGAACTCAAGGGAAACTAGGAATTCCTTTCGTATGTTATGGCAAAAAAAAGACAAATAAATTTGACACATCATATTAAAAAGAAAACCGTATAAGTGTATTGTTGTAATTTTGTTTTTCCTCAGGGTGTTTTGAGTCACGTGCTCGGATTGATATTCTTATTGAAAGTCGAAATAGAAATAACATCTCCAGAGCTGTGTTTCAACCTCATACAGCTTTTTTCATTTTTTTTTTTTTTTTTTGTCTGCGTAGAAAACATCACTTTCTGATCTAGAATTTGCATACAGAGTC